CAAGGGGTAGGTGTCAACAGAGAAGTCCTTACAGGAAATCAGACGTAGACTGCTCACCTCTCTAGCTTCAACAGCACAAGGTCTGCTTCGACTATCAAGGCACCGCGGAAATAGCAGGTCTCAAGAGAGTGACAAACATACAAAAGAAGTTGAGGAAAATGACAATAGTAAGGATCAGGAAAGAAAAAGCAGCAGTTCCCTGTTGTAGATCAGGCACAGTTATGAGCGTGACATGAGTCAACCCATTTACAATTCTACTATGCTTGAACGAGAAATGTCCCCCCTTTGGGAATGGCCTAAAGACACTACGGTCAGTGGCACTGCCCCGGGGGGTGAGGCACTTCACTGTCGCAGGCAGAGGACCTGAGTTGTGCCCGTCCTCAATGGGTAAACAGACTTACAATTATAAGTGTATTAGTGGGTGATTGGCGGGTGCTGTGGTGTGGTTCCCCCCTTCTTTCCTATCAAATATCGACTGTCCTTATCTCGCCTCCTTCTTTAATTTGTATGTTATTATCTAGTAACTTCTAATCTTGCGGATGGTTTGGGGGAAGGGAGGGGGTACCATTGGTAAGCCGTACTTTTTTGCTTTCACTCTGTTGTTCTGTCTGTCTGTCTGTCTTACTTTTTCCCAGCACTTAATGACCATTATTGAGTAGATGTGCTTCCTCTCATTACGCAAACTAACAAACCTCTCATCTTCGTCACTTATATTATTATAATGACCTAATTGTGCTTCACGTGCCATAAAACTCTTACTGAAAAAACTAAAACAAAGGAATAAGTATTACATAGAACGAAAAAGCTCGAGCGAAAAGCAACAAGGAAACAATACATCTCGAGCACAGAAAACTCCAGGCATATTGATCACCAAATAATCCCCATCTTCATGTTTTAACGCCGCTCGGAGCAATCGATACAGCAACAGAAATCTGTTGTCTTTGTAGAGATATATCCGGGGGGGGGGGGTTGTTCATGCTTTGTTTGTGGGTTTTGTAATTCAGACAATGGGTTCGGTTTTTAGGGAGGATTGTCTGGGGTCTTCTCCAATCTGTGTGTCATGAGTTTTATTGATAAAGAGACAACATGAGCATGTTTCGCAACTCGGTGGGATCGAGCGCGCGCCAGTTTTTGGGCGTATGAAATTATTTATATTGTGTGACGGGTGCTGACAAAAGGAGTCAGTTCTCGGATTCCAGCCCTATGGACACAGATAGATATAATAGATCTGTAGGCTGGGTTTGCACAATGTATCATATGAAATGATAAAAGAGATATTTAACTTGAGGAAAATGCCATCAGTTTAAAACCTAACACATTTGATGTTTCTATTTTCGGACATCTCCAGTCGTGAATTGAGAGAAGTAACTTATTTTGTCAACACGCTTCATATAAAATCAGCTCAAATTATGTTCAGTTGTTGTTGTTTTTGGTGGAAAAGTACGCTTCTACATCTTAAATAGAAGCAGCAATATTTGCAATACAGGGAGGTGGGGATCGCCTGGTGTCTGAGGTAAAATTTAGAGTAAAAATAGCTTCTAAAGTTTGGTGATTTCCAAAGCTTGAGAGTCCTTGGATACTGCAAATTTGCATTTTTAAAGGTCTCTTTGGTGCTTTGAGATCTGTGGGGGGTTTTCCAATAAAATCTATGATTTCAATATTTAGACGAGAGCTTCATTTCACCACTCTGTTACACATAATGACATTGCATTCCAAGATGGATATATTTTGCAACCAGGAAACGATCTTTACTCGCTTCGTTGCAAAGATCAAAGTAATGTTGCGACACTTGCCAACCATCATAGACATATTATCAGAAACACTAATTTGCGCATTCCATCATAAGCATATCATTTCGGTCTCAGATATCAGAAACAAAATTTAAAAACTATTTCAATAATGAAATTATGCTGTTATTTTTTGTGTCCCAAAAGAGACCGTCTCCAAGCGATGTCAAATTGCCGAATACTTGTGCTCAATGAGTTGAGATCAACAAGTGTCCGACAGGTCTTTTTGGAAAATATCGACGTTATAGAAAACATTGAGGATGTTTGTTTGGTTTTGGTAAGTGTTTTACGGCGTTCGCAACTGCATATCGTCATATGAGCGCTTTGGATACATTAAACATTTTCAGTTTGGTAGGATTTTTATATTATGACTGGATGGCAGCCGAAGCCTACTCTTGTCGAATTTGGATCACCAACTGACCTTTAACGTACACAACTTGCACACGGAACCTCAGGGGATTTTTGTCTCCCTTATCTGAGAAGGCTAGGTGTTCGATCTTACCTACCCAAAGATCAGGGGTGTGGCTGAAAGACAGCAGTAAGAAAGGCCCAAAGAGAAGCAGTAGAAAGGTTGCATAAAGAGTCAGGAGCCCAGAGGGGTACTGTAAAGCGTCTAACCGTTACACCACAGACTTAGGTAAAGTTGTTGAACAACAATGTGAAAGTGTCGCAGGCCAGACGAAGCATAAACAAACAACACATATCAAACTCACTCTGTTTCGTTCGTATTCCTTGGAGTAAGCGTCAAAGATCTGTGCGTTGTGGATGCCGATGCCACAGAACGTCAAATAGGTTGCCAGCATCTGAAAAAAACCAGAAAATGATTATAATAATAATAACAACAACAACAACAACAACAACAATAACAACAATAACAACAACAACAACAATATACTAATAATAACAGCAACAACAACAACAATAATAATAATAATAATAATAATAATAATAATAATAATAATAATAATAATAATAATAATAATAATAATAATAATAATAATTGTACGGCACATATTCCCGTTCACATCCAGCTCTATGCCCTTTACAATCTGTATCATTGCCCCAGCAGATCCTGGAACACTCCGAAACATTCTCAGCTTCCCATTAAGCATACACTTCAAACAGCCGATTTAACGCTCAAACACTATCGAACTGACACGATCTTTCGCTTTCTGTCGCCGAGTACCCATTCCCAGCTAGATGAGCTGGGGAATCTGTGCAAAAACACCTTCCCCAAATACACAACGTTAAACCCTGACATGGTTCCAACGCACGACCTTTCGGTTGCGAACCTAATAAACAATAATCATTTTTCAATTGTGTCTTCTGTTTCTGAAACTTAAAAGGCAGACCGACCACAACATGAATAGGCCTACTAACTATGAAATTATGTTCACAATCTTGTTCCTGGTATATGTGTATTTTGTATGTTCAAAATGTGCCTCAAAATTGCTTTTGATCTGTTTCTGATCGGACACATGTGTCCGATATGTCAGTTAAGATTTTTTAAAACACGCACAACTCAAAACACGGGAATCAAACTTGCGCCTTCTGAGCGCCACGTTTAAACTTCTAACTGCTGCACTGCATATCGCCTGTAAAAAGTAAGCTGAATTTTGCTGCTGTGACTGATATAAGTTCAAAAGGAGGGACACCATCACTGCAAAGAGAGGGGAAAGCAATTCCAGCAAAGTTCCATCTTTATGTGTGTCACAACGCAGTGGAATCAGTCGCTCGTCAAGTTTTGGGACTGAGTGATTATTGGTATCATCTAAAAGCTTGTTGTTTTTTTACTTGCTTTTAATGAAAGAAATGCCCATCTATCTTGAACAGAAGTCGATATATTTGCCATTGAAGGAGGTAGGGGAGGAAGGGTGCCTTGTGTCAGAGGCAAAAATTAGCCAGAAATTAATGACGAGCAAAATTTGGTGACTTCCAATGTTTGAGTGGAAACTGAAATTTATATTGGTGGAATTTTTTAGCCTTTAATCAACGTTTTCAGTAGCATCCACATCGAAATGTAACTTTATATTGATATGAAAAGTGTTGATCCAAAAAAGAAAAATCTATATAAATTCCCAAATGAGACCCCCCCCCCCCCCCCCAAAAAAAAAAAAAAAAAAAAATTTTAAATGTCGGTTCCTTTAATTCCAGTATTTTGACGAGCAACTTATTTCCCCACGATGTTACACATTTTGCTTTGTGGTACCACGTCGATAAAAGTATCTGCCCCATCTGGAGCAAGTCTCAGGAAGCTTTGGTGTGTCAGCGACGCGACACGTACACCCTGTCGTGTGGCCACAGTTTAGTTTATTGTAATTGTAAACGTTTTACGCCCTCATCGACACAGTGTAAATAAAAATAAATGAATAAATTACATTTATAATGATCCCCGTTGGGTGATTTGGATTGCAATGGCATACGTACATGCATAGATACATAATAATCTTAAATACATATCTACGTAAATACATACAGAAACATTCATAAATACACAATCAATATCACACTAATACTAATACAGAATAATTCGATGAACACGCCATTGCTAGTCGCCACTGTGCAGTGCCCTATTTTTGTTTGTTTGTTTGTTTGTTTTTGTTTTTGTTTCTCTTGTTGTTGTTTCATATTGGGGGAGCTTGGGTTTTCGTGCCTTGCTCAGGGACACACCCCAGTGATCACCAACGTAAACCCTGTGTCACGGACACTTGCTCGGCATTACTTTTTATTCTGAACTCATTACTCACTCAGCCACTGGAGCTCCCAGTGTAAATCGTTTAAGAGGCAAACTGCTTTGTTCCTGTTTTCCAGAACCACCGCGGGCTGAGAGGAATAGATCTACATCTTCCCAGCAGACAAATTATAATGGTCCTTTTACTTAATTTTTAAAAAAACTTCCACAATCCACGTCTTCTGTGTGCGACAGTGAAGTGCTTTAGTTCATTAATGACTGCAATACAGACGCCGGTGGTAGCTGTTTGAGCTTCTAAGGTCTTGACATTTTTTTAAGGAAGCTATCCAGAGTGACTCACCAATCTCATGAACTTACGATTCGTTTGAGTGAAGAAAAGCACATCGACACAATAGTGTTCGTTTAGTTTAGTTTTAGTAGAGGTTTTATGGCGCTCGCAACTGCATAAGGTCATATGAGCGCCAGAAGATTAGAGGTGTTACAAGAGAGTAACAAACATAAAAAAGAAGAAGGGAAGAAAAGGACGATAGATATTTGATAGGAAAGAAGGAGCAAACCACACCAGAGCACCCGCCAACCGCCCGCAGTGGTCGTTTAAGTGCTGGGAAAAAAACTAAGACAGACAGATAGAAACAACAGATAGAAAGTAAAGAAGTGTTGCCTACCAGTGGCGAACTCCAATCATCTCAAGAGCCCCTTGATAAATATACGGTTTGTTCTTCTACACCCCCATAGGCACAACTCAGATCATTTAGTAAGCTGGCTGCTTCAAGTCTGACTATCAAGGCCAGCGACGGCTAAGTAGAATACAGAAGCCTAATATACAGATGAAGATACTGGGCAAATAACTTCGCCACTCAGAAATCGAACTCACGTCTTTCGCGTACAACCAAAGATTGTACATGACAAGATAGTTCACTCCTCTCTTTGAGCCAATTGAAAAAAGTGTCCTCAAAATTCGGTGGCGCCTTCTTCGAAATAGGGCGGACTTTACGATCGGAGTTTCCCTACTTGTGTGAAAAACAATAAAAGTGAAACTAACAAACTGTGCATATTCCTATTCTTCTTTTGGAGAAACGAAAGAGAGCTTCAAGACAAAGATTGCAGCGCCATCTGACCAATGAGGGGACTTCTGCGGACACTTTTTTGACCGAGTGAACTATCTTGTTATGAACGATCTTTGGAACAACAAGAAGGAATCCAAGCGATAACGGATAACATTATATCGCTGATGACGCAGCAAGGAGTCTCACAGCTTGATGGCATGCTAAATATAGCGCATGATCTCTCAAAAGAAAATCTTCTTATAAATGTAATCCGACTAGCAGAGACGCTTTAGTCTTGATCTTGCAGGGCATAAAAGAGTAATGATATAGAAAAACATCAAAACCCTGACAAATCGTGTTCATAGATTTTAGAAATTGTGGAGGATACGAATCTGAAAGAGGAGTGGCACAGAGAGAGTGGGAGGAGAGAGAGGGGGAGAGAGAGGAAGGGTGGATACAGGGGAAAAGAGACAAAGAGAAAACGATGGAGAAAGAGAAAATGTGTAGGGTGGGGGTACGATAACGGTAAGGGGGGAA